AAGGCAGCTAGTCATCACCACCCACCGCCAACTCTTGGGCTACTCTTTTACCATCGAATAGTGGGATTGACCGTCACATTATAACGCCCCCACGGCTGAAAGGGCGAGCATGTTTGGTGGGATGAGGATGCGAACCCGCGACCCGCAGATTGCGAGTCGAGCGTCCTAACCACCTGGCCATGCCGGGCCAGGATCTGGTAAAGCCAGATGCTATGTAGAGCTCTTCCTTCCTATAATGTGGAGAATAAAGATATTGCTGATGTTTAAGTTTATCGCTCTTTTCTGATTCACACCATTTAACTTCCGGTTTACACTAAGGTTAGAATAAGCGCTAAAACCTGAATTAGAAAATTATTTCATAATTAAAATATTTTTTGAATGTTTCTTACTTCTTGATGTAGAAAATATTTTTCCGTAGAAGCAAAATTCGAGGTTACAATTAAATTTAATGGATTAAATGTACCAAATTCAGACAGTAGAAATCTTAATCACATCTTTACTGTGAAATGGGATGCTTTGAGCAAGAAGTGACGCAACTGCTTTGTTATTTCTGCCAAGTTTCTCGACTTGACTTCTACACCTCCTCACTTCCCCTGTCTTACAACAATTTCCTTGAAGAATGAATGCTACTACAACTCTTCATAGAGGTTTTGTTCATTTTTAGCCAATTTATGCATGTTTTCAAAAGAAAAAAAAAAAGATGGAGGAGTGCAGCCTCCTTAAAATAACCTGCAAAACTTTTAAGGTAAGACATTTAAAGTGCATTATAGGAGCTTCAAAGAGAAAGCCCATTATGGATTGAAAGTTCATTTTTACTTGTACACTTTCACTGGATCTGCTGGTATTTCACCAAGGGCAGAGCTGGGTATGCAATTTTCCACTCAAAAAATTAGTCAAATTGCACATCTATTTAAATAAATTATACATTACTAAGGGGCTGACAAGCTAAGATTTGGCTCCTGGACTCTGACCAGCTGAAGTCTAACTTGTAAGTAAAAGCTTCTTATATGAAAGTGTGCTGTAAACTCCTAAGTGGAAAATTAGCAAAATTTTAAAGCTATGTTGTGCTGAGAGGAGTATATATATATAAATCTAATAAAAAATACTGTTACATCTCTGTTCGTTTGTTAATTTTCCGTATAATTTATTTCCAATGAAACTTCAGCGACACAAGTCTTTTCTTAAATACAACTAGTTTATTCCCTCTCAATACAACTTTGCAAAACACTTAATTTTCCACAGTCACTTTAACTTAAACACACGCTATGATTCACAATGATTCACGCACTTTACTACCGCGCTTGACTCAATTGTCCGTCTCTGTCTGTCTGCAATTATCTATCCCGTCACTTTATTTGTCGGCTTATATACTATAAGAGCGCATGTCTAGCAAACACTCGAGCCTTCAGGAACGTTCGAGATACTCATTACGTGTTACCAGCGTCACGTGACTTCCACTGTCGTAACAATACCTTAGATGTGAAAAAAGGTGCTGCCAAAAAGTACTGAATGTGCGACTTAAAGGAATGAAATCAAAATTGGCGGCCAAACTAATAACTACACTTACAGCATTGAGAAGGATTTTACAACAAATATTTATTCCTTCATTAGTTAGCTAGGCCGCATTTTCTGTTCAACTTAGAGCATGATGGTGGGTAAAGCAAAATACGCGGCCTAGCTATCTAATAAATGAATATTTGCTGTAAACTTATCAATGCTATACATGTAGCTACCAGTTTAGCCGCAAATTTTGATTTTATTCCTTTAAGTCGCACATTCAATTCTTTTTTTTTTTTTTTTTTTTTGGCTACACCATTTTTTCACACCTAAGGTTTTTTGTTTAGATATCATGACTTTTTGTCAATACACACCAACAAACCATAGCAAATAAGAAAGTGACACTCAATAATAACCCACAGTAGCTTTAGGATCACATCCCTATTATTCGGATTAGACCTTTACTTTACAGAAACAATCAGATTCTTTAACATATGTGGTGATAGTTTTCTCTCTCTAAAACACTATTAATAGCTTCCTTTATAGTAACGCCAGTTTTTTGTAATCAGCCACACGCTTTTAATTACGATAATTTTATAAAATTTAGTAAATTTCTACTAAAACGTTGTCAACAGACAATCTATAATAACCGTTCACCCGAAGGATTCTTTCTTTTTGAAAACTTCAGTGAGAAGCTGCTAATCTAGTTTTCTTGGCCTAACCAATACTTGTGTATCTTCACGTCCTTTCACCTTATGGTTTTGCTGCTCTAAATCAACCTTCTTTAATCCGAATGACAAAAAATTAAAAACGGCCCTCTTTTGCTCTTAGGTACAGCTGTATTAAAAATGTTAGACCAATAGCTCACGTGACTTTTAGCATAGGCATGCACAAAAAGTTTGGTCAAAATTGAGCGGTCTTTCTTGAATAACTTTGTATGTGTGGCTTATATTTACACAAAATGAAACTCCTAATTGGAGGTTGAAAGACCTATCAGTGTACTAAATTTGAAAAAAAAAACCCATAAAAGTTAAGTATGTTTCTCTATCAAATAAAGTTTCGGTACTTTTGGTGTGAAGAAAGAAGAAAAAATAAGAAGAAACTCAATCAAATTGGAGATGTTATGTCTCAGGTATTTCTTAATGAATTGCCTTGAAATTTGGTAAGTGAAATAAGAGTCCAGTAGAGCACATCCACTGAAAATATACTGTTACGCATCTGCTTGTTTGTTAATTTCCCGTAGAAATTCTTTCCGAGAAACTTCAGCGATACGAGTTATTTCTTAATTAAAACTAGTTTATT